GACCAAATAACTTGAACGCACATGATGTTGCAATTACAACTTCCCAACTCGAAAATACGAACTTCCCATGAGAAATTTAATGCAACATAACTCAGCTTGTTATTAAAACAAAAAGAACAATTTTGAAATCTGCACCCCTGAAGCCAGAGTAGTCAAATTTAAAGCCAGGTGTATGGTGTATTTCAGATTTATTTTACAGTGTTGCTGTTGTTTTTTTATAGTAATGAACAATAAACCTTTTTTCTATTTTAGTGAGTTACTTTCGACTGTTTTTGAAAGTCAATCAATCAATAAATAAATACAGGTTTGGGACAACATGAGGGCGAGTAAATTATGACAGAATGTTCATTTTTGACATATTTCTAAATTCGAATAAAGTGTGAACTCAAAATGAATACCCAGCCCTAAACACGGGTTCCCCTAAGAATTGTTATTGAAGACGCTTACCTTTATTGCGAGTTCAGGAGGATGAAGATTGACAACTCTCATTGTGGAAAGGGAAGTCTCACTTTCCTCAACTTGCCCATACACCACGAAGAGCAGGTTGGACTGTTCCACAAGGTAGGGCATGTACTCAAAAGCTTTGACATCTATTGTCAGGGACTCAGCTGTAAAGATATTATGATCACACTATGACCTAAACCGTTAACAATTTTTGTAGAATTCCTTAGAGCTGTTATAACTCGATCTCAAGATAATGAACAGTTTTACAGAAACACTTGTGTCGGACTCACTCGTCGAGGCTTCCACGGTTGCAGATTTGTTTTCGAACTTAAAAGTTGTGCTAGTGACGCCTGTGTAATACACCACACAGCCAGTGATGATGGCGCTGATGATGCAGGTTTGGCTGGTCTGGTTCTTAATGTTCAGAGTGAGCTTGAGGTTTTCACCCATTTTGATGGTGTCAGCCTGGAGCTCGATGGTCACACCTGCTTCAGCGAGTGGCATGTAGTCCCTGGAAGAAACTCCACGACGCTCTGCCATCTGCATGGCCTCTCTCTCCTTAAGACTTCCTAGATTCATGGAGGTTGAAGGCAAAATATTGGCATTTTCCACTCCTTACCACATCAATCAAAACTCTATTGTTTGGTGCACATGTCCATAGGATGTTTGGCTTCCTCATGTAAGTCTGTTGAATAATCAAATAACTGAAAGTCTTTGTTGAGTCTGGCAAGTGTCAATAGAGTTCTCACGAGTTACTGAAACCAGTTTTTAAACTGTCGCTCCAAGAATCTAGAACACAACACAATTTAGTATTGACTGCCCTATAATATCAAATTACCCAGTATAAATGCTGGCTCTATAAACCAGCCAAATTAGTAAACCAAGGCTCTTGATTTAAGAGCATGTCAACCTAAGCAAGGTAAAATGCTCTTCCTAGTCACAAATTTGATTAGTCTCTCCAAGACTCGTGTCCAAATTTTGTTTCAAACACTTAAAGGATTGTCTTTTTCTCAGGAAGAGCCCTTGTAAGCCACCATGACTCCTCGAAGTTCACAAGAGGAGTGTCAATCATGTCAGAGAACGATCATTTGAATCACATTGCTACATCGAATGCAGCTCTCCTGATCTAATGTCACATTGCTTTTTAATTCTGTAGATTCATATGAAACATACCTTCTGGGTATTTATAGTTAGATGTGATGTCCTCATATCTGCTACTGTTCTTCTTTTTAGTCAAAATGAGCTTTCCCACATACGCGGGGTCTACACAGATAATCTTCATTTTTCCAAGCTTATCAGCCATATGGAATATCAGATCACTGTTTATCTGAAGACAGGAAAAATATATTTTTTCCATGTCCATTTGTATGTGGCTAAGATTTTAAAGGGGTCATATGATGCGATTTCAATTTTTCCTTTC